ACTTGTTTGCAAAAATTAAGGGAACAACCATCGATCGATGGTGATCTGGTATTCCACGGATTTCTTGCAACATGGTCAGATCAAAATTTACAGAGGAACTATAAAAGTCTTGGAGGCAAACACGAGAGGAATTGAATGAAGAAGGGCCAATCTCCAGCGTCATGTAATCGTAATAGAGACTCATGAATCTTGTTTGATGATTTCTGTCGAGCAGCTTCTCAAAGTTTTCTATTACCAATGGGTTCATTACTTCACAACGGATAAGAAACCGGAAGGACAGTTCGGCGAAACGATCTGTCAGTGGGAGAACACCCGCGAGTACTTCGAGGCTCATCGTATGCGTCGAGTGCATACAGCCAAGCGTGATTCGGAGGCAACGTCAAAGGTATTGTTGAAAAAACGAAAAAAAAACACAATTTTTTAACTTTAATATCTCCTAAAGCGCAATACTCGATAAACAAAATATCATAATTTGAAAGAGGTATATTCTGATGTTTTTTAGATTTCTTCATTTTAATGGAAAATGTTTTTTTTTTTTTCTTCATTTTAGAGGAACATACTTTTTTTAAATGCATTGAACTTGCGTTTTGAAGACTTGAAGACTTTGGCAAAGTTGTTTATCTTGATAAAATAAACAACTCTTCTTAAGACGTTAAAACTTCACAGCCTACTGTTTTCGAGGTAGGCTGTGAAGTCTTCACGTCTTAAGAAGGGTTGTTTATTTTATCAAGATAAACAACATTGCCCAAGTCATCAAGTCTTTAAAACGCCATTTCAATGCATTAAAAAAAGTTATAGAAAAAAATTATGTTCCACTAAAATGAAGAAATCTAAAAAACACAAAAATACACCTCTCTAAAATTTTAATATTTTGTTTATTGAGTATTGCTTGATTTTTGCTGAAAATGTTAGATTGCAAATTTTTGCGCTTTTGAAGATTTTAAAGTTCAAAAATTGTTGTTTTTTTTTCGTTTTTTTCAACAATATCTTTAAAATTTAAAGCCTAAATCAGTATATTTCTTCACAAAAGCAATTTATTTAATGCATTTGCATAAGAGAAAAAAAAAATTATATGGTTGTAATCAAAAAACCGAAACAGAAAGAAAAAAACATATTTTCGACATTTTTTTCAACTCCATATAAATTGGAACCAGTAGGCTGTGGAAATTTCACGTCTTTGAAAGAGCTGTTCATTTTGTCAAGAAAACAACTTTGCCGAAGACATAAAGTCTCCAGAACGTCAGAGAAAGAAGTTAGATTGTGTCGCCATCTTTGTGGAAGAGTTTTGAACTATTTGTTTATGTCAATAGATGGTCCTTATTATGATGAGAAACTTTGCCGAAGAGACCAAGTCGCGGAAATGCTTCGTTTCGGAGTTATTATTTTTTCTCCGCTAGGTTGCATTCCTGGCCCAGTGCCAGTGTGCATTGAATGAAAGTAGAACAGAAAAACATAATGCATGATTTTTACAAGAGAAATTCATTTTTTTTAATTGAGGACAAAGGTATATTCCTATTCTACGGGTGAAACCGATGAATTTTACAAACATTTGGAAAAGTTTTGAATGGTACATTAACCTTTATGAAAAGTTATGCGTGATTTCAACTTTTTTGTCCTAGAACTGTCATCATTCCATTTATTTCGACCAATAGAATGGTGAGGTAGCACACTCTTTACAGTTTGTGACATCCGCAGAAAATGCAGCGGCATTTGGTTTTCTTGGTTAGAGTTATTTACGAAGGTTTGCGGCTGACTGTAGCAAATAAATGGGCTCATACTAACAATCTTGTCGATTTTCTTTGCGCTCCTCTTGGAAATACCGGAAAGTTTTGATTCTTTTCTATGTTGTAGAAATAAACCGCACATCTACACTTCTGACAAGTTGCAACTGAATGCTTATAATTGTTTTAAAATAACTGTTTCATGGCCAACTAGCTTTATTGCGCTTACGCATATAGCAATATAAAGATGTATTTTTGGGTTTTATAAGGGAAATTTATATTGCTTTTTTTATATTTCAAGGCAATCATAAAACCTTTAATAAGTGGAAATAGCATAAGCATCAGTTGGTTTTTTTATAAGCTTTATAGGGGTTTTGTAGATAGCTATAAAATGTTCCATGACTTGCATTGTATATGACCGTCATAAAGCTGAAGGTAATGGTTGCAGCTGCAATAAAACCTTTATAAATTTTGAATATAGCCAAGCAGCTCTAGATTTGTTACTTGGGATGTCAAGCGCGTTACCCTTGTTCTAAACAACAAACAGCCCGTCTGCCTCATCAGTGTTGAACAACCTATAGCTCAGCATTACTCAACCATCACGACAAAACGGTTCTTTTCAGGACCACCACGAATTATTGTTTTTTAAGAGTTAATTTTCATTGAACGTTCGCTCACCTTGCTGCTAGCCATATCATCCCCAAAGTTCTTTAATAAAGTACCTAGCAACCAAACGTTTGTGGTCAAATACGTAACAGTATTGAACTGGTACAATAAAAATGACCAATGACCGAATACAACATGACTTTGCCAATTAACCAGAAACACTTTGAATTAAGGTAGAGTTTTCTCCAGGACACTAGAAAAAGGATCAAAAATAAATGATTGATCGCGAGTATCTAGCGATTGCAAAATTTTAGCACGAAATGGCAAACATACTTTAGAATATAAAAACCAATAAATGATCCATAACAAATTTAAAAACGCTCCTTAAAAAAACACCCAAATGATCCATAAAACCCCAGTGAAATCCTTGAAAATGTGTGAATGATCCATAAAAATATCAATATAATCCATATTTTCAGTAAAATTTAGCAACACAATTGTGAAAATGTAGTACTTAATTACTTATGAATGAGCGTTGAAATTGTAAGAATTACCCATACACATATTGCAAATGTTCCATAAAACATTCAGCAATGAACTTTAAACTAATGAAAGTGATCCATAGAAAATCAAATTTGCGCTCTTAAAATATATAGGCATGATCCATAAATTATAAGTATACTGTTCTCGATTTTGACACTAACTTTTATATTTTGTTCCATAAACCTTGAAAAGATGTTCCATTACTACGTAGCTACCTAGATTTTCTGAAATACTCGTTAGAAGTGTGAAGTGACGAATTTCAAATCTATGGGCGCCTCTTGAAACTAAAGACTTTAAAGATTTATTCGGTATGAATAGGTTTAAAATCAATTGCTAAGTTTCTGAGTAATTATTTTTCAAACATTACCAATTTGCCGTTACACATTTAACCGGTTGCATCGTATTCGGAGTGTTAAGAAGCATCATAGGGAATATTTTTTAGAAGTTTCTTCTAGATGCTTATTCTAGATGCTTATTCTAGATGCTCGCCCATCGCTCCGCTGTTCTGAAAAAAAAAAAAAACTGCAAAACAGTAAACAAGAGTAGCTACGCAGTAATGAGACAATTTTTCAAGGTTAATGGATCAATTTTTTTTTTTTAATGTCCAAAATATGAACAATATATGTCTAATTTATGGATCGTGCCTATCTTTTCAAATGCGCAAGCTTGATTTTCCATGGATCACTTTCATTAGTTTAAGGTTAATTGCTAAATCTTTTATGGATCATTTGAAATATGTTTATGGGTAATTTATGCAATTTCAATGCTCATTCTCTAGCGGCGCTGGTGGTGTAGTGGTAAGCGTGATTACCTCTCACCCCAGCAGGCCTGGGTTCAATCCCAGTCGGCGCCGCCGGGATGTTCTGAGGCATAACATCTCTGATCACGCCTTCCTTCGGAAGGGAAGTAAAGCCGTTGGTCCCCGGTTCATGAGTTGATGGGTCGATAAGTAGGGTCCAGGTGTGGGAGCTGCCTTCCTGGCGTCGGTAGCATTGGTGCTCAGCACGGAAAACAAGATCGACGGAAAACAAATCAAGGAAAAAAAAAAAAAAAAAAAATGCTCATTCTCAGAGAGCCACACTCTCTGCTTTCACTGAAGATGCACTCAAGAGCGCTCTTAAGAGTACCTTTAGTGAATAGAGTGTGGCTATGCGGTACGAAAATTATGAATTTTGATACGGTACCATTTAAAGATGAATTATTTGAAAATTCAATTGGTTTTAACCTAAGTATTTTCTCTCAACCCCAGCAGGCCTGGGTTCAATCCCAGTCAGTGCCACCGGAATGTTCTGAGGCATAACAACTTTGATCACGCCTTCCTTCGGAAGGGAAGTAAAGCCATTGGTCCCAGCTTCATGAGTTGATGGATCGATAGGTAGGGTTCAGATGTGGGAGCTGCCTCCCTGGCGTTGGTAGCATTGGTGCTCAGCACGGAAAACAAGATCGACGAAATCAAGGAAAAAAAACGTAAGCATTTTGCAACTCCTAAAAGAGCGATCTATCCCTGCAAATATTGATACAGTGTACTTTGCTTTCATTGAATTGAATTTATCTTTTATAATAAACAAATGTATTCCATAACTTCTTTTAAATAATCTCTAAATCACAATTCAATTACCACCATACACACCATGGTAGCCCGTTGATAAGCAAACACTCTTACTCAACGCATTGCATGAGGCATGGACGTTTTTGCATTGGCAATGAAAAGAAAGGAAAAGTCCACCGCCGCATTATTCGTAACAGACGAAAACAAAAACACGAATATGGCAACACACCAACCAAGTTGCGTGCGCACAATTTGCACTTCACTCAGGAGCACCACGCACCCACCTAGCAATAATGGTGCACCTTCACCGGCAAACGTATTTAGTATCAAATTTCGCCCACAAAGTTTCCTCTGCAGCCATTTGTTTTTCCACCCTTAATTAGTGCATTGACTTCAAGGTTAGGACGACAACGACGACGACGACGACGGGTCGATCCCGGATAGGCCGCCTCCCTCACATGTGGTGATTTTGCTTCGCTCTCGGTGGGTGATAGTGATAGTTGCCAACGATGATGGCAGCCGGCCAGCAAGGGACTTTTTCGAAGCATAATCAAAACACGCTGCACCTCAGATGGCTGCTGTTGCTGCAGTTCAACGACTTTCTTGCTTTATTTGTGTATAATTGGTTACGATTTGTTACACCTCTTCGGCATGCACATGCAGTGGTACGCGAGCAATTAGGAAGTTTTGTTATTTTCCACGAACAACGCTTTACAGAGCAATATTTTGTTGACTTCATATTGGCATGACTAAGAGGCTTGTTTTGCTTATGATGGAGTATGGTTGGGGAGTTTGACTTCCTTATATGGCTACATGGTATGTTTCTTAATGCTAGCACATGTACTATTTTTGTTTTGTTATTTGGTTTCATTTCCTAATACTAAAAGCTTTAACATGGCTTATGCTCATTCGGGTGAACCGCGCTAATTGTAACAGGATATATGTTTATTGACATGCACAGCAGACAGCATTTCAGGGCGCGTGAATGATAGATGTTATTCTTGGATTTGTTCAATTTGAAGATTTACAATAGTTTTGATCATTTTCTTTTTTTTTTGTATTAATGGTGATATTTGAGACTCCTTCAAAGACAATTCCTGTAACTAACAACCTTTGAAAGCGATTTGATCAACATCGATATTGCTACAGTAATTTCTACAAAACAGATTTCATAAATCGGCTGCTTCAACTACAACACTTATCAATTTGAAAACTCCTATATATTATAACTTGACCGTATGATGGCCACACTTCCGGCAAACCTTAACATTCTCGTAGATAATCTCGTCGTCGCAGTAGCTCGTCCTCCAGTTCCGCCAATTCACGTCCACTTCCGTCGGCCGCGCGCCATGCTCTTCGATGCTATCCAAATCGATGGGCTCCTGATGCGGGCAGATCTGTTCTAACCGTTCCACAAAGTTTTCCTCAAACTCCAGCACATCGCCCATCAGCTCCTCTTCGCTCAGATCCGTTTCGTGATTGTGGTAGACCGGGTCAAAGTTGATACACCGCCCGTCCTCATTCGAGATGCAACACTGAAATTTGGGTGCAATCTGATTCAGCTTCTTCCAATCCTGATCCCCATCCCGCATGGCTTCGTCACTGATCAACTCGTGAATTGTGGAGATTTGCCTGCGGAAAGGTTTCCTCGCGATGTCATTCTGAGACAGGACCCGTTTGGCCGGCTGCTTCGGACTGAGCATATCAAAGCTCTTATTGTAGAAAGCATACCGAATCGTGGGCTCCGATTGACGTTTCTCGGGGAAAACGTTGGGTTTGGTCAGCGAAAACAGGTGACTAGTATCCGAACAGCGACGTTTCGAGCTCGGTCCCTGCTTGAAGCTCTTCACCGAACTATTTTCGTCAATCGAGTCCAGGTTCGATTCGAACGATGCCTTGACGGAGCTGGCGTTGGAAACCAGCGAATCGACGGAACAGTATGGTTCGGATTTACTGCAGGCGGTTGGTTTGTCCAGGTGGTTGAATAAAGTATGGCTATGTTGGCTAATTTGGGCACGAATCATGCCGACATCCACACTTTGAGACCGGATCTGGCGGCGTGGAGACGACGGAGGTGTTTGGCGGGGAAGCGGAATCGGCAGCAGGAACTGGGTATCGAGATTCTCGAACAGAATATCTGTGGGGGAAGGCGATGAAAAAATCGTTAGCGTAGTGTTCATTGGAGATTGTGATGTTGATGAAATTGGATGAGCGGTTTGCTGTATGATTCAATTGTTAAACTTTACCTACGTTTTTTGTCGAATATCAAGTGTCCAAAGTTTTGAAAGATTCAGTAGTTTGCATTTTTCATAAGCTTTTAACAAAAACAATCAAAATGTAGGGTAAATGTATCAGTTTTGTCTATAAGGAATACATTGTAATACACCGTAATAGGAACGTTTGGGCAAAGCTGATACACTTACTCTTTAGAACAAGGTCGTCTGCTGTTAGTTAAGTGTTTAACATATTTTTTTTTATTTTATCCCAATATTCCTAAAAGAAATAAGCGTATATATTTTTTTCATACACTCTATTTCAACACTACCCAAATTTGGGTAGAATCCTACCATATCGGTCAAAACTGAACTGTCCTAAAAATGGGTACACGATGTTGTCCATTTGTCAACTTTTCATTTCCAACATAATTTATCCATTTTTGGGTAGATTCAGTTTTGACCGATTTGCGTGGATTCTACCTAAATTTGGGTAATTTTGAAATAGCGTGTAGAAGACTTTAAAGTACTTGTTCGCTAACTGGGCTAAAAGCGCAGCCCAGTTAGCGAATTCCATTCGCTAACTAGGCTGGCTCAAAAACATTGAGAGGAACTTCAATGGATTGTTTGATCGACGTTAAAAAAAATTCACGTGCATTGAATTGAAACAGTGTAAAGTGTGTAATTGTTATTTTCACAGCATTCAAACTCGTGAATTTAGAAAGGCTGTAGTTTGTGCTTAAAAGGCTTTCAAGTCTTGATTTCGGTGTGAAATGAAAATAATTTCAGATTTATTTATATTAACACTTAACATTCCATTCGAATACCCCTCACCAATTATGACAACGAAATGTCAAACTTAATGTGACGTCTATTTTTGACGTATAACTGCTTTTAAGTTAACGAACGCCCAGTTAAAAAGCAGCCCAGTGAAAGAACGCCCAGTTAGCAAACAAGTGCTGTATTTGACACCTACAAAATTACTCCAGCGCCAAACAGTGCAGTATTTTGTTAATCTAGCTGGCCAAACATATTCAACCACTCCAACTTGTCACACATAAATATAAATTAAACTGTGCATTAGGCCGTTCGCAATTCTGAGTTTCGAAATTGTTTCAAACTACTCGACAGTCCTAAAATTTGAAACTGTCAAAAATGAGACTGTGTCGGGCATGGTTTGAAGTATGTAACGAAGGACTTTATTATTCAGTTTTTCGAAGACGCCATAGCAAGTCTGGAGGTGTCTGGACAGAAAGACTACGTAACAGTGAAAAAATATGGAAAACGGAAAGCAATATAGAAAAGGTTAGTGATGACGACGCTCAAAGAAGCCTTTAAAAGATTTAAGGAAATCTTTAGTGAGGTGAAAATATGCATTTCTTCATTCGCAAAGCTTTGGCCTAAATACTGCAAACTTTTAACCACTTCAGAATCACACAATGTTTGCGTTTGCACAAATCATGAAATTTTTATTTTATATCACATAGTTTAGAAAAGTACAGCATTTTGTATGACTTAAAGCCCTTGGCTGCTAGTTTAATTTGTGAATAAAAAGTCAGCATATTGTTATCTTAGATGCTGTGTGTCCAGACAGTTCGTCAATGGAGGATTTTTTGTCACAGCAATTAAAATATAAAAATATTGATCAACTGTCATTCGAACAGTGGGTAACCACTGGTAGATGTGATATTCAAACTATTGTTAAAGAGGCTGAAGATGTTGTTTGATATTTTTGTGAAGAATTACTAAAATTAAAACCGCACGATTTCATTAAAACAGAACGATCCAAATTTTTCGAAACAACGAAAATCAAATTGCAAGAAGGGGAAATTTTAGTGATTTGTTAATTTTCAGAAAATAACTTCTTTTTACTGCAGGATGCAGTACAATCTCTTCATTGGAATGTACAGCCGGCTACTATTCATCCATTCATAATCTATATAGGGGAAATGGATGTAATGTCGGCCTAATTGACTCTAATTTGGGCCCATACATAAACTCAGCAATCGAATAAATTTTCAAGAGGGACCAAACATATCTAATAGTACTGTCCCATTGACGCGTTCAACTAGATAAAATTGATAAATAGCAGATTTTAGCGATGGACCCAATCTTAGATCCATTGGCCAACATTAGAGCAATTTCCCCTGTATGTAGGGGAAATGTCTCTAATGTTGGCCTATGGATCTAATATTGGGCCCATCGCTAAAACCCTGCAATTTATCAATTTTATCTAGATGAACGCGTTATTGTTACTAATGGATATTTTTGATTGCTTAATTTATGTATTTAGTCGATTGCTTAATTTATGTATTGGCCCAAATTAGGGACACTTAGGCCGACATTACCTGCATTTCCCCTATAAAAATGAATTTCTGACTGTCTGTCTGTCTATATGTTTGCCTGACTCTTATAGACTCGGAAACTACTGAACCGATCGGCGTGAAAATTTGTATGCAAGGGTTTTTAGGGCAGGGAAAGGTTTATATGATGGTTTGAGACCCCTCCCCCTTTTAATGGGGGGGGGGGCTCCCATAAAAATGAAGCGGAAATTTCTGTATAACTTGAGAAATAATCAAGCAAATGGAACCAAATTTGGCATGTGGAGGTTATAGGGGTAGCCCCTTAGATAAGAGGAGGAGGGGGCTACGTACAATATAGCATGTTTTTTTGATTGGCGTTCAAACTCACGCTAATATTGAATCCCTAGCAACGCCGGGCACACTCAGCTAGTATACTATAAAGAAAACTTTCAAGTACTTCATGTCAGTTTTATAGTTATCTCAGGAGAGTTGACGCATGATGCAGTACCCGAGCAGGAGAAAATAACTGATGGATACCTTATCCTGACCTAATACCAAAATTTGGTATTGATCAGTATGACATAAGACGTAAAATACCAAAGAATAATACCAGGCTTGCAATTGCTCATTACAGCTGAAATTCTATTTTTCGTAATTATGAAACTATGAGATACTATAGTGGTAATTTTTATTTGTAAGAAGCAAGAATAGGTGGTATAGTGTGTGTATGACATATAAAATTTGTCAATTTTGCTTTCAGAAGGTCACAGCTAGCGATTGTATGATCGCTGATTGCTCGCTCATCACGTTGCTCATCAGTACAGCTAATCGCTATTGTGACTCTCTCAAAGCTAAATTGACAGGTTCTATGTGTGATACACACACTTTACCTGCTTTTCTTGCATCTTGTAAATAAGGATTATCATTAAAATATTTCATAGCTTCATAAATCCGAAAAATAGCATTTTAGCTGTAACGAGCATTTGCAAGCTTGAATAATACCAAAAAGTTACATGCAAAATACTTTGCAAATAACAAAAATTGATATTTGGATATCAAAAGAATACCATTGTGCTATTGTTTTGGTACTGCATTAACATAATTTGGTATTGGAATGGTATTGTGGGAACATTTCTTTTGTATTATTTTTTGGTATTTTACCTCTTATGTAAGGCTCATCCATACCAATTTAAGGTATCGAAATATTCGTTCCTGCTCGGGTAGCTGTTAACTTGTTTATTTCCAAAATGAAAAATTTTTGACGTAGAACTACGTCTTTGTCGACTATACTGGGGTACAAATCAAAAAATATGTGTGGTGAAATAGTTTTAGGTTTTGAACGCTTGTAACTTTGTCATTTATAGATGAAATTAAGATCCAAATACGCCAATCGATAGGATATTACTTAATAAATCTGCTGAAATAAATACTTCTCCAATTTTTTTTTATCAAAAAACTTTTGAAAAATGCGCAAATGCTAGTGTTATCACTGTTTTCATGAACTAAACGTTTTCCCCAAACTCAGTCATCATAAACGAATACCTTTAGGTTGCACATAAATTCTGCTTGAACCTAAAAAGATATAAAACAGCGCTGCTTTCCTGACTGCTCATTACCGCTTCGGACGGCGTGGCACTAGGTCCTGCAGCAAGCAGGACCAAGTCAGCGGCTCAAGGCGTGACCATGACCACCACAATGAGGAATGAGACCCCCCTTGACAACAACCCGAAAAAGACATCGACTTTGACGATCACTTTTTTCCGGGAAATAAATGTTAAGCAAACCACAATTTAATTTGTTAAAAATTGTTAATATAATTAAAAACAATTTTTTACTCGCAGAGCCAAAATTTAAAAAAAATGGATTAAGAGGAGGTCGATGAATTACCAACAACTGACTGTAAAACATTTTTTGCCATTTAAATGATCTTTATTTCTTGTGATTGTGTGGTTTACATGTATGAATTTGTTAAGTGACACAGATGCGTCTTTTCAACTTTAGTACATTTGAGATTTTAATTATTATTTACAGTTCCTAGTCCTATCAGGCCTATTTTAAAGTATGACCACCTTGGTGGGATTGGTTTGATTTGAATTGGAAAAATGAGACTACTTATAACTACTATTTACAACTACAACTAACCTACAACTACTATGTACACCTAACCTACTATATACAAATTGCTTATCAAAGCATGTTCTGATAAATTACATTTTTGTGCAAATTTAGTCTTAATTTCGTTAATTTTGGAATCTATTTTGGCAATGCCTGCCTCTTCATGTAAATTTGTTATTCTAGTGTCGAAAGGACGATCAAGAACCATCCTCAGCACTCTATTCTGAGCTACCTGAATTTTGTTCCTGTGAGTCTGTGTACATGATTCCCACACCGGAGCTGCGTAGAGGATCGCAGGTGCTATGATTTGTTTGTAGACGGCCAGTTTGTTCACCCTTGAGAGGCGGGATCTGCGGCAAATCAGCGGATACAGACTCCTAACCAAGGCGGAACACTTGACTACGGTTTTCTCCACATGCGAGCGGAATAGGAGCTTTTCGTCAAACAACATCCCGAGATAGGTTACTTCGGCGGACCACTCAACCCTTGTGCCATCCATGATTACA